TTTTTTTTTTCATCGCTGTTGTTGTAATGTATTGGGAAGCCAGAATGCGCATTCAGAACATATATTAGCTGAACCCTATTTGTTTTAAGTGTTATTTATAGCAAACCATATATTACAGATGCGTTGCTAGATTTAAGTTGAACCGCGGTCCTAGCGCGTGCCGAACCGTGTGTGGAGAACTGTACGGTTCGATTTTTTTCCGCGAACCATTCCATCCCTTATTGTTATCATAAATACACACACATACATGTATATATTTAAGAAATATTTACATGTGTATATATATTTAATATGATTTATATTATATATGAATATAAAAATATTCTTAATTAAGAAATATTTGTATGTGTATATATATATACATATTTAAATATGATTTATATTATGCATTATAAATATATATTACATATATTTCTTAAATATATACATGTGTGTGTGTATTTATATATACATATAAATATACACAGTCAGGGTCGGCGCCAGAGTGCACAAAGTGAGGGGGCAGGCACAATTTATTGGGGGGCCGCACTTTGGGGTTGGGGCTGCTTTGAAAAAAAATTAAATTCCGAAAGTAATTTTCAGATGCAACGGGTGAAAAAACGGGATAACACAAACATGAAACTTGTAAATAAAATAATTTGATATATAGCCTATGTACAATTTAATAACATATAGCCTAGTTTGATATATGAATTGGGTGTTCGTCAAAGATTGCATGCGGTCGGAGATTCCTGTTTTTACAGCTCCGTAAAATAACCTACTGGAAGCTCTGTAGTTTTGCTGTATAGGCCTATAGATAAAAATATTAAAATTACAAACACACAATAACATTTTAAGTCACCTCCATTTCTGAAAAAAAAAAGAATGTAGGCCTAGTAATTGATGTTATAAATACACACGCCTGATTTTTGTTTTAATTATCCATCGTACTTTTAATCTGTGTATTTAACAGCCTGGGAGACCTTCCCGGGGCAGTACCTTGCCTCACCGACTAAAATCAGGGCGCCCACTACGGAGACGGCACCAGAGGTGAGGGGGCACAGTGACCGAGGTGGCCGGGCCGGGCCCCCTCAGGCCCCCCCGTGGCGCCGACGCTGTACACAGTACACATATTATGTAAATACAAACTTTTATTTAGGATGCGATTAATCACGATTAATTAAATTTGACAGCCCTTTGTTTTCATGTGATTTCCGGTTACGTATTCTGTCTCTTTAAAATAATTAGAAGAAGAAAAAAAAAAAACCTGCACAGGATATTGTTACAGAAACCCGTGACAAAAGGCATGTAATAGTATTATTAAAGGGATATTTTACCCAAATATGAAAATAACCCTCATGTCGTTCCAAATCTGTATGAATTTCTTACGTCTGTCGAACACAAAGATATTTCACAGAATGTTGGACTCCAGACAACAACGAACAAAATATCTTCTTTTTGTTGTCAGGTGGACTATCCCTTTAAAAGTTTTTTTTTTTTTTTTAGCAGTTTTAAAGGTTTACGGCCACATATTTAAAAATGAATGGTGTCTTAGTGCTGGGGGTAACTTTTTCCAAGCAGCTCCCTGTTCTAAAATGCTTTCTCCTGCCTTCCTCCAACCGTTATCTTTATGTCTATTAGAAAGTCTCTAACGTGCTAGAAGCCAAAGGTGCATAGGCACCAAGTGCAACCCTCTAGTTCAAACAGTAAAGTATGGCACTAGCAACGGCAAGGTCACGACAGCAGATATAAATAGTTTATCAGCAAAGAAGATAATACGAGGATTGATGAAATATACGTTTTTTTCACTACCAGCTTTGAAAGACGTTGGTTTTGGTTGAGTGAAATACTCCAAGGTGGCAGAGGTCAAGAGCCGACCCATGCTAGGGCTTTTCTGTGGGCGTTCGTTATAACTGCCGGAAGAAAGCAAGTTGTGTTCATTTACTATATGAGTTTGTGTTGTTTGAATTCCCCTCATTCTGAGAGTCATTCTGAGAGTTACACTGGGGACGCACCCACCTTACACCCCTACAAACTCCACGGGGGCAGACACACAAACAGAGGACTTCAAGGAATGAGCTACTTCTTCTGCTTACACTATTACTGTGACTTCAAAATCAGGGTCAGCTGATTGTTTAGTCCTCTCTTTGAGGTGTTTTTGTCCAGTTGGACCGTTAACAATTAAATAATCAAGGTCAGAGCTGTGTTCAGGTTTTTAGATATCATATAAAGGTTTTTAGATATCTTCAAACTCTATCATGATTTTTTTTTAAGAATTCCAATAGCCCTGCAGCTTAAACTGGCTTCAAGTCAGCTCCGTTATCACGTTGATGTTTTGTTCATGGAAGTGTTTGAAATGGTCATCATGTTTAGTCATATGAGCTTACTAGAACTCCGCCCCAGTGTGTTTGCTGCTTCAATCTTCTTGGTATTTATGCGAGGCATGGGTTTCAATTTTATCCTGTTGCGCAAAAGACCAGGCTGACTTACCCAGAAAACTAATTAACATCTACAACTGTCACCAAAGAACACGTACAATGAACACCTGCCAAAACGCTCATTTGTTTCTCGTTAAGTTTATTTTATTAAATGGGCTGTTATTCACTAACATGGTTCATGGAACTTTTTGGGTCATGTAACCATAATAATAAGAATGACAACAACTAAACTAAATAAAAAAAACAAATTATATTATTATTATTATTAATTAGGGCTGAACGATTAATTGCATTTGCGATAATATTGCGGTTTGAAAAAACGCGATTTTTCAATCGCAGAGGCTACGATTACACTCGGTCACGTGACACGCGAGAGTAAAGAGGTGTGTTCGACTTGAAGATCGATCGGTGTATGACATCAAAGTACGGCGAGGGAAAGCATAAGGAGACGTCCGCTCTCTAATAGCTCTCGCAGTACTTTTATGACACACACCGATTGGTCTAGCAGCGCTGCTTCAAGTCGAACACATCTAAGCAGTCTTCAGAGGAAGCATCAAGCTGGCACGCTACAGTGTATTTTACCCCCTGGAATGCGATTTTTACCGGTGGACCCCCCTCGAAACGCGATTGGGCTAGTTTTGAGTAGCAATTGGGCGGGTTTTGTTGTGAAAACCTGGCAACCCTGGCACGCTACACGCAGACAATAATCCCCAAGTAATGATTCCAGTCCATTATTTAACGTCTTGTGAAGTGGAAAGCTGTGTGTTTAGAAGAAAGAAATCCATCAAGACATTTTAACTTTAAACCTTCAGTTTTGGCCAAAATAATTCATAATAACTTTTCCTCCAGTGAAAAGTGTGAACAAGATATTTTGATATATCACAAATTACATACAAAATGCAAAATGTCAGTAGGTAATATCAGAAAGAAAAATATGTAATGAAATAAATAAATAAATGCATAGATAGATATCCGATAGTGGCCAGATTGGATTTGCTATTAAAAATGTATAATATGATTATTATTATTATTATTATTATTTTTTTTATTTTTTTAATATGTAAGTCACAAAAAAAAAAAAAAAACAGGGTATCCAGTAAGGTTTAAATATCTTCTCCAAACCCTTTCCTTAGTTGAAAGGTGGAGAGATTTACTTGTTTCATGCAGAAATAGAAAAATACTTGTATTTTTGACCTTATTGACAGCTATGCCTAATGAAAGCGCAAATGATGCATGAATCTAGTTAAAGATAATTGAGCTGACAGCGGTCAGAGGGAAAGCTGAGGCCATGCCTTTTTGACCACTCATTTAATAAACAAAAGAATGCATTATTATGAGAAGTTCCTTCCTGCACCCACGTTATCTGCGTCCCCAACCTCTCCAGCCCTGAGCTAAACTCATCAGACTCATGATAAATGGAGTAAGTTGAGTGGACATGATGAATTGCTTTTGTGTGTGTTTGAGAGAGAGTGTTTACTTGCGCTTTTTGTGTCCTACAGTGAAACTTTAGGATTCTTCATAAGGTGATGCATGCAGTGAGATTCTGTGTTGTTTTTCTGAAAGTTTTCAAGGGCCAAACAGCAATTACTTTCTGTATGTGCTAATATGCAAATGATCCAGTAGGTCACAATTCAGTTCAGCAGTGTGAGAAGGTCATCCAGCGCACATGCTGATGCCTGAACCATCACTTGCTGTCAAACTGAAACTCCTTCCCTCCAACTGCATTAGCCATTTAACCTCCATGGGTCAACAGGGTAATGTTACTGCCTCTAGCGTTTCCTTCAATTTTCCAGTCATATGTAACTAGCTACGCAGCATGAACTTGGTTAATTTGTTCTGTGCAGGAGATGATAAAGTAGTGGAGAATAGCAGTAATTATCATGCTGTGGTTCCTCTGAAAATAGAACCGCTCACAATATCTGGTTATGTAGTTTCCACATTTCATGGAATAGCATTAAAATGTCAAAAAAAGACCTATATTTCTGAATATTCTGAAAATTATTCTTAAAATGACATTACCAGTCAAAAGTTCAGAATTTATGTTTCTCGTGGTCTAAAAGGAATAGTTCACCAAAATATGAAAATTTGCTAAACATTTACTTACTCTCAGACCATCCAAGATGTACATGAGTTTGTTTCTTCATTTTAACAGTTTTGGGGAAGTTTAGCATTACATCACTTGCTCACCATTGGATTCTCTCCAGTGAATGGGTGCCGTCAGAATGAGAGTTCAAAGAGCTGATAAAAACATAATAATCCACAAATAATCCTGGCTAAAATTTGAGTCCATAATCCATAATAATGCTTCCTCTAGAGAAAAAGTCAAAACCCACTGACAGTATTATGGATAGAGGACACGTATATTAGCCAGAAACAAGAGTTTGAAGTTAAAAACATCTTGCTGGAAGCACGTGATGTGTATTGATGACTGGAGTTGTGTGGATTATTGTGTTTTTATCAGATGTTTAGACTCTCATTCTGATGGCACCCAATCACTGTTCCTGTGTAAAATAATAAAACAAATAAAAATAACTCATCTACATCTTTGATGGCCTGAGGGTGAGTACATTTTCAGTTTTGACTGGTAATGAATATCTTTCAAATATTGTAACATCTTAAGAACTAGGAATTCCAAACATACCAGTTCAAAACCAAGATCATACCAAAATATAAATGCCAGTTGTAATATAGGTTTAGTTGTAATGTATGCTGTGCAGGTAGTGAAATATAATACATTTAATTAATAAATGTCATGCTTGCATGGCTTTGTAGCGTTCCTGGAGTATCCAATCATGTAATTAGTGGCAACAACTAATAAATGTTACACATACCAGGGGTTTTCTGGGTCTTTGACCATCTCTTGGCCACAATTCTCCCATCAAAATGTAAAAAGTATGTTTATATTCTAGGGGTTATTACAAATTATGGGTAACTGGGAGCAGCATTTTAAAAATTTTCTTGAATACCAATGTTAACAAAGATTTATTCCAGAAATAAATTATATTATAATTCTATAGAATTATATTAATACAATGCAAGCATTTACATTTTGTAGAACCAAGTGAGCTTATATGTCCCCTTATATGAAGCTTCTCATAATCAGGGTGCATTTCCAAAAACATAAGTTTTGTCATTACCAACATAGTTCAACGATTCTATTTTTCCTGAAACCATAGTTCCAATAAACATTCACAAACAGCATTGCAAAGTTGTGTGGTTGGAACAACAGCTCTCGATCTGTGGTTAGAAGCGTGTTGTATGGCATGCAGACCTAAATAGATCTTGCGCTTGAGCAAAATGAGCAAGCTAAGATGCAGTGTAATCTACAGTATATCTTTCATTCCATATACATACGAATTTAATTCTATGTCTTTTAGTTTGTCAAGAAAATAAAAGTGCCTCATTACCCTGGTGGAACCCAGGAGTATGACGTAAGAGGGAACCTGCGATTTAATTAAACCTCTATACATATAGAAAAACAATGAAAAAAAAAATCGAAGTATTTCTCTTAACAATGCATCGTACTATGATAGGTAAGCAGCGAGTTACATTGTTATACATGAAAGCAGCACTGTGCAACTCTTGTATATTCAAGTTTTTATCACGTATCATAAAACATAGAAACTTGACTTGAATAGTATTTCCCTTGATGTATAATTCTGTCCTTTTCTCTATTTCACACTAATTCCAGACGAGCCAAAGAGATTCCAAGTTATGATTCACGGCATTGAACCACTGCTGGAAACACCCATCCAGTGGTTGAGCGAACACTTGAGCCACCCAGACAACTTTCTCCACATCAGCATCATCCCAGCACCAAGTGACTGATTCCAGAGGATCCAGTCGTCTGGTGATGGAGAATTAGGGATAAAAGATTTGCAGAAACGTTCTGATGGCACACCGTTTCTTCCCGTTTTCTCATTCTCATCCCTGCAGTGGCCTTATCCGAGCGATGGTCATTAAACATCAGAATCCTGCGCACTTCACATGAAGGAGACGCTCTCAAAACTACTTGGTTCATTTAGAGCTCTCAGATGGGTCCCGTGTTCTTGCTGCCTTTAAAATTCTTACATTCATACATTTGCACAAGCTTGATGTGATTGTACTCCCACATTAACTCTTTGACACTCCCGTTCCCACTCTCTAATTTGTGAGTATCGTACGCTTAGACTCTCAGATCTGGTAATTATTAGGAGGAATCCTGATTGGTGTTTAATAAGGCCACTAAACTGCTATACGTACTACACGACTGCCATGGGGTGTAAAATGAAGATGGATTTTTTTGCATAAAACCTAAAGCAGGAATAACGATGACTTTGGGACTTGAGGGACAAATATTGGTGACTTCATTCACTGGATTAAATGTGTCAGTGTCTGGTTTTGGCAGCCGTGTAGGGGGTCACAGCTCAGTGGAGGTGATGATGCCGCGAGCTGATTAGTCACAGTCCCAGACATATTTTGGTGGGATATAGCACAACTGAAGCTCTCTTTCCCGGACACTGTTAAAGATATGGTTTACTTTCTTCTAGGGGGGGGGGTGTTTGGAATTTTTTTTTTATTCATTTAGAGCAAATATTTGATCTTTGAAATGGGTATGTATCGTGTAAAAAGTAAGTCAGAGGCCATACAAATACATGATCATATCACACTGTTTCCAACAAATTAATCTTACAGTATTTTTTCCCCTCATTTATTTACAACCTGTAGGCAGACTGGCTGTCTGTGTTTAGGGGGATGTGGGGACTGTAGATCAGTGCTGCAGACGACACACAGCTGAGAGTGATTATTCGTTTAGAGGAATCGGTGAGTGTTTTACCCCAGACCGAGACAGAGAGACAGCGGGCAAAACCGCAGAGCTTACGCCACCACCAGGCGACTTCTCGGCAGACTGTTCTTGAGACAGTGCTGTTTGTGTACAAACTTTAAGATGTTTAGATCATTCCTTGTATGATTCTGAATAATTACAGAAATAAAGATGCTGCAACTCCTCACTACTAATAACACGGTTAAAATGATAATAACATGGTTCAAATGTGCAGTTTCTTGCGTTATTTTAATTGCGGTGATTGCTAAACTGTCTTTGCTAGATTAATTCAAAATGCATTTAATTAAAACAATATTTTATAGCTATGCAGTGTTGGCTGTCCTTTCATTTTTTCTGAGTGAAATGAAAATTCACCCTATGCATTCTATAAAATGTGTATTATTGGTCTTATTGTAAACAATTTAGCTGTTTCTTTCTTTCTTTCTTTTTTACTTTGACCTCACAAGTTTTAATCGAAATGTGAAAATCTTCCAGTAAAAGGACAGACTTCTCTAATCATGTAGTCTGCTTAAATCCACCCCTTTCCTATCGACAACAAGTCCAAATTCACATCTGCCTCCATCCAGATTCTTTTTTGATCATCTGTTTCACTTGGATGTACTTTGCAGTACAGAAAAGATATTTTGCTGCTGCTGTTTTATCGCAGGAAGGAGATACTGAAAAAAAAAAAAAATCAGAGATGTCTGTTGTAGCTAAAAAGCGTTAACTCATAGCATTTTCATTTCATGAAAGGTATTGTGACCACAAATTACAAATTCGTTCGACCGATTTATTAACTTGTGTTACTAATTTGTTCCATTATTTTAGTTCAATTTTGGCCGTTCTACACTTTTCCCCTTATTTTTATGTAATTAAATTGTGTCCACAATCTTAACTAAAATTAGTGAACAAACTAGTACAACTAAAACTAGCAAATTAAGTCATTAGTAATAAATTCTTAATTCATGGCCATAATATCTCGTTTTTTTCCCCACACCTGTCATGTGTGGCCACGTACATTCGGTTCATTAGTCACAGTGAAAATAGACAGTTTGGCCGAGTGCCTTGCATTGTGGGATACTTGTATACTGTTGTATACTTCACATTTTGGCAAATGTCGTAGGTATTCTTTGCATTTAGAAAATCTACATGCTGATCTACGCATAATCAGAGGTTTGATTCTTTTCATTCCAGATTCTTTGTGATATTAATGGCAAAATGTTAACATTTTGTAGATTACCAAGATGTATGAAAATAATACTCAAGATCTGAAGGTTGCAAAACAATAGCTCTGAATTCATAATTCTCTGTTGTTCACAACTGTAAAGAAGTTTTATTTGACGTTTTAAGTCAGTTTTATTTTTTGGCCTAGAGTTCAGTCTCATCCAGTGTCGTGGTCTTCAGCTGGGGGGCAGGGGCGAGTGCCATTAGTTTTCTCAGGCACGCAGGAAGAAGGGTTGGGAGGCGGTCTCTCCTGTGGTGGCGGCGGAGTGGACATCAAAGTGAAGCCGAGCACTCTTCATGTGTTCATTAAATAAAGAGCTATCCTAGACCCACTCGCTGATTCCAGTAAACCCGTCACTTAAAAGATCAGAGGAGCCACTCTCCTCTGCGTCTTCCTCTGTCATCTCTCCTTCAGACATTTGTTCTGATGCATGTCGTAAGAGCGGTAAAAAGTGTACTGCTTTTTTTTTTTTTTTACTCGTTTCTTAATTTCCTTAATTTCTTGGTTTCCTCCATGGGAAGTAGGTGAAGACTTGACCGTTTTAGGCAGTGAACCCGCTTTGAAGTTAATTTAATGAGGAAGCGGACAGGGTTCATGTCTCCTTCAGCTCTCTCATATGTGTTTTTCATCCAGTTGTACAGACTTTATCCACATTACTCTTGTGTCGTCCACTCCCCTACTCTTGCTGATTGGGATATAAAAGTACAACTCAAAAGCCATAACTCAGCCAGGCCCTGTTAAGTTATATGAGGTGTCAGAAGACAACTTTCCCCTCTGTTCGATCAGAACGGCCTTCTCGTACCCAAAGTACACCTGGAACTGAGCTGCTGAGTGGAGGGAGGGGGGTGATCACCGAGGAACAAACAACAAAAAAAATATAGGAAAAATGTTATAGAATACAAATGATTGGTTATTTTCCAGCAGTGTATTTGATTTCTCAGTCAATTAAAAGTAAGAGATATGATGATGATGATAATAATATTAATAAAACCTGTCAAAATTAGACCCAAAAAAAGTATTATGTATTAAGTATTATTTGACATTTCTGTCCCCATCACTTCTGAAATGATGGCTACACCCCTGTGTCAGGCCTCGAAAGTACCATTTGCCCATCACTGTATGTCATGGGAGAAACAGTCAGTCACACACAGGAGCAGAGCTGTACGATTCTGGATGAATTGAGAATCACTTATTTTATTTGATCTTTTTTTCAAATAGAGATCATTATTCTCCCAAGATTCTGAACAGACAACTAAACAAAATAGCATGTAATTTAATAGAGGTTCTGCCAAAATGTTAATTGCTGCAGTTTATTTATTTTGAATTATTTATTGCAAAAGCTGCCCCCTCTTCTGTGGCTAATATTAATTTAATAGTGATCCTTACTTCATGAATTCAAGCAGCAGAAGTTAAGTGACAGTGTGCAAATACCCAGTGAAGACCTTGTCTCCTAGACGGCCATCGGGACAAGACCACGGAACCAGATCAGTCCTCTGCACAATCTAACTTTGCTGCAGCATGGATCAACCTGCTGGTTCATCTGGCCTGCCCAATGTGACTTTGCTGCAGCCTGGAATTGAACTGCTGGTTTCGTCTGGCCAGAGGAGAACTGGCCCCCCGACTGAGCCTGGTTCTCCCAAGGTTTTTTTCTCCATTCTGTCACTGATGGAGTCCCTTGCCACTGTCGCCTCTGGCTTGCTTAGTTGGGGACACTTAATTTCCAGCGATATCGTTGACTTGATTGCACAGATAATATTTAAACTGAACTGAGCTGGATGATGACATCACTGAATTCAATGATGAACTGCCTTTAACTGAAAATTGAGTGTTTACTATTGTCCTTTTGCATTGACACACACTATTTTCCTATTTTGATAGTGTAAAGCTGCTTTGACACAATTTGTATTGTTAAAAGCCCTGTATAAATAAAGGTGATTTGACATGACTTGACTTGACTACCAGTGGCCCATTTTGGGGTGAACCAAATATGCAAGACAAGTTTTACATGTCAATGTTCATAACACAGGGCATTCATTCTTTTCTGGGCTGCTTAAAAAACATAAAATAAAATTGGGGGCATAAATGAAGACAATACACTAAACCTATTAATCAGTATTCTGCCCCTGTAGTCATAATTTGTGTTTTAAAGAAATGAAAGTGTTTACTGCCATTAGTGTTCATTTAAGCTGGAAACTGCAGTTATTTTTTATGTAAAAGAAAACATTTTTTATGTTGTTTTTTATGTTTTTCCAAAAATGCAGGTAGAGGCTCCTTTTTTTCCAAGAAGCCTATGCTGACTTTTTATGTTTATACTCTTATAGGTTTGAACAGTATGACCTCGTCAGTAGATTCTGACTTGCTGTTCTGTTAATTCACTTTTGCTGATGTTCTGAAAGCAAGCTTGTTTCTGTAACTGTGTGTTTCCCCTTTTAGCTTCAGTGATTCTGACATCATCTTACAGCGGGAAATGAAGAAAGCCAATTATCATATAATCCACATGCTCACATGGGGCCTATAAATGTACAATTTGGGTAGAGCTGAAAGGGATTCCATTTGATACAGTCAGCGTTCTCAGAACTGGATTAGGAAGAGGACACGGATCAGCCAGAACTGCATAAGCATTGTATTACCACATCTGCTTAACAATGAAAACACATTGTAAACATCCCATTCTGACAATCAGATTTCACAGCCAAGATTCAATTCTTTACACTTGTATTACTTTCTGGATTTCTTTTGAAGTGATTATTCAAAGCAAAGTTTGTATCAGTAGGCTAAATGCGGCTCTGACAGATTTCATTTAATAGAAAATATTTTGAAATGGATTCTTGTTTTAACCTGCATGGTCATACAGACACACAATCATTTACACTGATAATAGATTTTGATCTCTTCATATGCTTTTCATTATTGTAGTGACGTAGTGTGTATGTGTATAGTGTGATATATTTATAGGCCTGTTGTGGTGGTATTACTAAGAGTGTCATGATTTGTGTGGTGTGGAATTTTACACTTTGGATTTGGTGACTGCTTCTTTTGTCTGCCTAGTCATGGATCTATTCATCGGAAGTGCAAATGAAGCATCTTGTAATCGTGGGGTTGCTGTGTTACTAACTTTTTCTCAGAACTGGATTAGGAAGAGGACACGGATCAGCCAGAACTGCATAAGCATTGTATTACCACATCTGCTTAACAATGAAAACACATTGTAAACATCCCACTCTGACAGTCAGGTTTCACAGCCAAGATTCAATTCTTTACACTTGTATTACTTTCTGGATTTCTTTTGAAGTGATTATTCAAAGCAAAGTTTGTATCAGTAGGCTAAATGCGGCTCTGACAGATTTTCATTTAATAGAAAATATTTTGAAATGGATTCTTGTTTTAACCTGCATGGTCATACAGTTAGACACACAGTCATTTACACTGATAATAGATTTTGATCTCTTCAAAATATAGAGATATAGCGTTACTATATCTAGTGTTTTACCCCAAATACCATACTTTTACATATTCTTCAGTTATTAAAACTGTTGGTTAAATTACCTTTAATCTTTGACCTTTGCCTCAAAATATATTATGTAATTGTGTCAATTTGCTACATAAATTTATAACATTTAAAATCAAATTAGCACAGATTGTCTGCCTAGTCATGGATCTATTCATCGGAAGTGCAAATGAAGCATCTTGTAATCGTGGGGTTGCTGTGTTACTAACTTTTCCCCCAGAGCTGCCCGCAAAGCACCGTCGAGGATAGTTTGTTGTATTTTGAAGTACCTAAGAATCAGAACCATTCCATATTTTCTAAATTGAATTTATTTGTGGCTGTTTTCTATTGCACGTAATTGCAAATACATTTTACAAATTGTATTTTGCTAGGTCTTATATAAATTAACGTTTAATGGAAATAATTGTCATGAAGTCATAATGAAAAAAAAAAACTCTTTAAAGGTTGATAGATTGCTAAATATCCTTTTTACACTTTATCGCACTATATCTACCGTTACTATATCTAGTGTTTTACCCCAAATACCATACTTTTACATAT